AACAGTGAAACACTGTTGCCACAACTTCTGAATAATTACTTGCACAAAATAAATATAACGGGACTTTTTTGAGGGGGAAAGTGGGGAGATTTGTCACAACTTTCTACAAGGAAAACTTAATGTGAGGGGGAAAAGTGAGATAAGTAACTATATATTTAATGAAATCGAGTCAATATGATTTTAGAGAAAAAAAATGAAAAAACGAATAATTAAAGATATGATCAAACAAGGTAAAATGCAACATGGGTTTGCTAAAGCTACATCTTGCCAGCATAACCCATTTAAACTAACTTGTTTTTTAAACAAAGGAAACATGGTAGAGCTAATCTGGTCCTCAGCATTTGATATGATGCTACATGAACAATTATGAATGAAGCTAGGAAAACTGTTGACTACAAAGGACCTGTAAAGTGGTTAGAGAACTTACTAAGGACCTTTCTTGGGACCAAAACTTGCTTAATGTTTTTATTAATGACCTGGGGGGAGAGGGGGAAGTGAGCATACTGATTAAATTTACTGAAGATACAAATCTGGGAGTTGCTCTGAATATGAAGGAAAACTGAACTATCATGCAGACAAGACAATAATCTTGAAGACTGAAGTAATAGGAAAAGGATGACTTTCAATAGTACAAAATGAATAAATCACACATTTGAGGTCTCATAAAAAGAACTTCTGGCATAAGACGGGAATGACAGGGAGAAAAATCACCATTGTGTACTACCTGATTATAGGATGACCATGAGCAACTAAGATGATGCCACCATTAGAAGGCAAATGTGGTCCTACAACATATCACATAAGTTATTTCCAGGAAACTATTAATGTCAGTGTACACGTCATTCTAGAAGCATCACCTGGAACACTGTGCACAATACCTGTCATTGTCAAGAAAGATGAATTGTAACTGAAGGATGCAGAGAATTACTATTAGAATGAAAGGAGAAACGAGCAGTTTGTCTTATGAGAGGGGACTAAAACACCTTGGCTTGTATAGCATAGCAGACTGAAGGCTGAGAAAGGTTGGCAACTAGGGTGACATGGCACTACGGGGTGCTATGCGACCATCTCATGGGTGCTGTGACACAGATACTGCTGCAGCAGCGGCAGCCAGCTAAAACGGTACCCACACTCATGGTTGCAGCATGCATGCGCTCCTGCTGCCTTAGGGCTCTCTGATAATGCCAAAACACACAGCGCTGGTTGAAGCTATTGCCCTTTCCAGTCTAGCCCCTGCCATGCAGTTCCACCCATGAGCCCCTGTTTCCTGATGGAAAATGAGGGTGCATTGGGAAGGACTACAGCCAGAGATAACTTTGTCTGTTGTAGAGTTATGAGAGCTCTAATGCAGGAGAACCATGCACACATAAAACAGCTTTTCCCGGGCAGTTTTACCTGAAGGCATAAGTACCCAGTTGAGAAGTACTGAGGTGTACTGAGGCAGCGCTAACAATGGTTCTCAATCAGCAGTCAAAAACATGTGGTGGCAGGTCACCATGACTGAAAAGCTTGAGAACCACTGCTCTAAATACATTGCAAGAGTAATCAGGGAGGGAGAATAGCTGTTTACAATAAAGACTTCCCTATATTGCATCTGCAGTGCTGTCAAAAGTGCAGCTGAGGAAGATGCCTTGTCCATCTACTCTGTGTTCCCCAAACCCAAAAATGTGGCAGCAAAGCTATTCAGAGGGTGCCACCTTCCACTGTTCTGCTCTAAAGCAGTAGGAACAACCTTTTTGGTACGTATGCCACAAAGTAGCCCCACACTCTCTCTGAACCACTTCCCTCTCCAGCCATTCTGAACCACCTCCCTTCCCTGATCTGCTGCTCTGTTTCCTGCTTCCTTCCTGGTGCTCCCTGCCAATTTGCTACTTTGCTTTCTGCTATTGGTCATTATGCTCCCTGCTTCCTCCTTTATGTGCCACATATGGCCCATGCCACTTGTGGCAGTCATGCCACATATTAGCCAGCCCTGGGGGGAGAGGAGAGGAAGGGGGGTGGCACTTAGGGTAGTTTCACTGCCTTATTTTCAGTTTGGTAGTCTCAGTATGGGTATTAAATGTATGGATCAGATGGGTAAGGGGTAGTTCTTGGTGGCACTCTTAAGAGCACCATGGAAGTAGTATAGACATCCCTGAAGGATAATGACTGCATAAGATCAAATGAGCATAAGGTGACCCTTCATAATTTTAAACCAGTGGTTTTCATCCTGTAGTCTGTGGACCCCTGAGGGTCCACAGACTATATCTAAGGGGTCTGCAAAAGATGACTAAGATCAATCAAAAGTATGT